GGGAGCGATTGGGGGTTAGCTGCCTTGCTCAAGGGCACAGACCTTAGTCATTTCCTGCAGATATTGAGAAATCGAACCCACAACCATATATTATGGGGCATATTATGCCCCTTTTTACAAAGTCTTGATTTTGTTTTTGGGGTCAACTAGAATGTTTTCATGCTTCAATGTAAAAAACACAACATTATTCTTAAAATATTTTACACTTTTGCGGCACCTCTCTTCCCAGTCTGTCAGTAACACTCAAGTGTGCCGCACATCCTGAAAACTTAAGCCAAAACATGTTGATCGCCCTATGGTGGCTGGGTGGAGAATATGTTATCAGTCCCGCACTTTCTATGTAATCAAATGTGACGTAAGGCAAATTGAAAAAATCCAATACTTCAAATATTTTTTTTCGAAGATGGTTTCTGTCATTTTAGATAGTTATCACGCTGATGTTCAGTAAGTTTGGTTTTAATTAGTTATTTACTTGAAACGATTAATCACGATTAATTGCATCCAAAATAAAAGTTTGTGTTTACATAATATATGTGTGTGTAGTGTGTATAATTATTTTGTATATATAAATACACACATATGCATGTATATATTTAAGAAAAAATGTGTTATTAATATATCAAATATTTATATTTATGTATAATATAAATTTTGTGTAAAAATATATATAGTATATGCATCCAAATATTTATTAAATATATACATGCATGTGTGTATTTATACATACAAAATAATTATTATAATTATTATACACACTACACACACATATATTCGTTTCACAGCCCTAATTTATTTGATGCGATAAAAACGGGGCTGTAACGTCACGATTGACAGCTGTACATAAAAGAAACTCGAGACTACAAACGAAGCGTTTCAGGGAGTTACTGATTTAGAGAATAACTCCCTTTTGAGTGGACTTTGTGCTTTGTAGACCTTTTTTAATACTCAAACAGCAATATTACACACTAAAGAAAGTTGCAAATGTAAACAAGCATAATAGACTATCTTTGAGGTGAAAACATACATGTTCATATTTATTCACTGAACACTTTTTTTTAATCACACCTTGTGTATGAAGCCCCTGTAAGCCGTCATCGAGTTAAGGAAGATGATAACTGTGTGTAGTCTGGGTGCTCAGCGGTGTGTGTAGCGTTAATGCCTGAAGCAAAGTCACATACTCCTCCACCCGTGCGGATGGTGTGAGAAACAGCTCCTGGAGACTGGAAATACAATAGGAGTGTTGCTAAGTCGCTCTTGCACAGCTTTTTTTTTGCCACAAAACTACCAGATCTGTAACTTTACCGTACCTCAACATTCTGGTAGCAACGGTCCGGTCGTGTCTCTTTAGAAAGTTGCGGAAAACAGGAAGCATCTCACGACACTACAAAAACATATACAATATTACAATAAATATATTACAATAAATATATTTACAATAAAAAAACTGTTTATTTTAAAATGTAATTTTCAGTAGCATTACTCCAGTTTGATCATCATCATTTACTGAAATCATTCTAACATGCTGATTTGATGCTCAAGAGATATTTCTTATCAAATGTTGAAAATGCATTGCCTAATATTATTTGCTGCCTAATATTTTTATTATTTTCAGGATTCTTTAATGAATTGAAAGGTCAACAGAATATCATTTAAGTTTTCTAATATGTTTTTTGTAAAAATGTAAAAGTGTATAAGAGACCTATCAACATTGACACTTAGTCATGAGGGTCTGCAGGGATCTCTATGATGTCATTTCCTGTTTTGTTTCCGTACCACATGACTGATTTGGCAGAAAAGTTGCCCAAATATTTATTCATTTTTATCAAAACTGCGTTGCTTTTAATAACAATAAAATATAATAGCAACTACTCAGTAAAGAAAGAATGTCATTTTTTTAACGAGACTTCCTTCAGCTGACCCACCCCCACCCCATTATATCAAATAAAATACTTTTTAATTTACAAATTAAAACATTTTCATCACTGAAGAGGCTTATTCAAGTCACTGTTTACATTTATCAGGTTTTTTATGAATAAAGAGAATATTCAACATGAACACACCTTGTCTATAGTTCTCAGAATGGTAGAATAGTTGTTGAAAAAGTTAGTGTAGACTCTTAACTTGGTGCAAAACTTGACACAAACATCCCCCACACACTGCAGCGGAGACCAGTCCTCCCACCTCTCTGTAAGCTCCTTCAGAAAAACACTGCAAGAGCATTTGTGAAGGCCAGAGAATTCAAGAGCAACAGAAAGAGAAATATATATGTGGAAACAGCACATCCAGATTTTTCCAAGTAAGATGCGTTCCTGTAATTTGTTGATCCTGAAACAACATTCCTGTCTATATCCCTACCCCTAAACCTAACCCTACCCTTAAGTTATCCCTAAAATCAGGGCAATAATAGGTGAATAACGCTGATGTAGAAGCACCTAACCTTGGTTGTAAGCCTAAACTTGACATAAACCTCAAATCTGATTGGTTGATTGGAATATTGTTCCTGGGCTAACAAAGATATTGATTGCACTTGGTGAAATCAGGTTCTGTGAGGAAGAATGGACTGTGTTTTACTTGTTTTCCTCCAAAATGTCCAGCAGAGGGCAGAAGAGGCTGATGAGATTGACTGAGCTGATGATGGCTCGATTGGAGTCCAGTGCCGCTCTGAGAGGTGAGTAAAACACTGTTGCCACCGCTTGAAGATGCCTCACGTATGTTTTCTCACTATTCAAAAGCTCTTTGCACACAGCACTGCGTCTATCTGCATCACTTAACAAACCCTGAACAAAAAGACATTTTAAGGCATTTGGTGTACCATATGATCTGAATTATAGAAAGATTAGCACTAACATTTGGAGATTCTGGACTGGGGAATGGATCGCTGCTCTTCACACCACTGTTGACTGATGACCTTAGTAGAAAGTGTCCCAAGAAGTCTAAGGGATCATCCTACAGCATGATAGTAAATTCAATACAATGTAGCGATAAACTTATTTACTGAACAGAATGTTTTTGTTTTGTTTTTTGCTTACTAGAGTCTCGTTCATCAGAGCCACGATCCCACGAACCAAACACTGCATGACCTCAGATTTAAGGGAAATGACAGGCATCTTTATATGATCCCAGAGGAATAGACCTGTAATAGCCATGCAAACAAAGAAAATTGGAATGCACACACTGGAAGTAAATGATGTAACTGTGTTTTATACTTCATTTTAATTTTTTGACTCACCCAGGATGCGGCCTCTGATCTCTTGACATATAAAATCCAGCTGTGGCCCCAGCTGTTTCCGTAGTTCCTTACAGGCTTCTTCTATCCATTCAGCCTGTCTGCACCAGCTCAGGAAGAGGGTCTCATGCAGATACACCAATGGAGGAAACTCACCAGACCCGGACCACTCACTGAGAACTAACAAGGCAAGGCAAGGCAAGTTTATTTATATAGCACATTTCATACACAATGGCAATTCAAAGTGCGTTACATAGAAGAAATTAAAATAATCAAAAGAAATCAGAATAATTAAAACAATTAAAACAGAAATATAGAGACTGCTTATTTAAAACACTAAGATAATACTTACCTGAATTCATGTTTCTCATAATCTTTTTTTATTATATTATTTTTTTAAAGTAAAATCAAACAAGAAGAAATATATAATTTAAAAAAAAAAATAATAAAATAATATAATTATTATTAGTAGTATTGGTATTAATATATATATAGTAATTAATGCTAAATAATAAAAAATGCTATAATTAAATATATAATTAATATGTTATTATTTTTTGTTATAATAATTGTAATTTATTATTTAATGAAACATGATTTTAAGATTAATTAACATTAATATGATGTAATTCAGTTGGGCTGAATAAGGAATTAAAACTAACATTATACCAGGGAAGTACACATTATACCAGGCAGCATTAAAAAAAAACTTGCAGAGCTTTAATCTCTAAAGGTCTTAGTCTTGATTTAAACAGGTTTGGTCACAACATTATTTTACTTCCATTTGTTATTTCATAGGTTTTATGACAGTACTATTCAAGTATGTGGTAATGTGTCCAAACATTTGACTGAAAGTATAATACAGTAGATCACAAACTCACTGTGCTGGAAGGAGCCCGTGCAGATTCCTGTTGGAGCTCTGACATTCAGATCAGTCAAAACAGACAACTTCCTCATCAGGTCCATCCCTGCAACTGAACGATCAATGCAGAACAATATCTGAATATAACATACAGTAAATGTCACATGGAATGGCATCTCAATGGCTACAACCTGTGTCAAACCAGCACTGAACTGGGACAAAACATTACCAGAAGCTGCCAGGGGAACAAAGATGTCCAGACTCCCTCCGTCTGAACCAGGAACCACCCAGCCACACAGTTTTCTCCCAGAACTCCCTCACACACGGCTTCAGCACTGTCTTCTCAGTAATGCTCAGTCCTGGGGATAAAACACAAATATAAAGTTATGTTATGCAGGGTGTTTTGTTGTGTTATGACAAAACATAATGTTGTTATAACATGTATGTTTTGTCGCCTTTGACTTGCTTAGTTGGGGATTTAATTTAATATTCAACAATAATATTGATCTGCCTGCATTGAAACCATTATGTGAGAACTGAACTGAGCTGGACGATGACATTGCTGTTTTCTAAAGAGCGACTAAATATATAAATGAACTAAATTAATACCTTTTTTTACAATAAAAATTACTTAACCTGGACTGTGATGCTATTTTCTTCTAGAAACAAACTTTGTTGCATTATTTCTCTTTCAAGCTTCTTTGAAACAATCTGTATTGTAAAAAGCAATATATAAATGAAGATGTCTTGACTTGTGATAACTTGTTCATCATTTACAGCTACATTTTTATCTTCACAGTTCATTGGAGCAATTGAAATATTTGGCATGAATTTGACAGTAGCTTTTTGTTTTAAGGTTATTAAAAATAAAATCTGCCATCATAAAGTTTGAGAATGTTCCAGAGCAGTCAAATATTCCATGCTAATGAAATTATGTTGAATTAACCAGGAAATTACCATCTGTGAGAGTCAACTCATCTGTGCTTCCTGCCACCAGAATGCCGAGACTTTGCATCATCCTGCCTTGGATCGTCCTTTCCGCCAGAGAGAGCAAGGCCTCCAAGGTCATTCCATGTGAGTCATACGGCAAAACCACCACAGACACATGCGCCGCGGCCAGAAGCAGCTAGAAATATGAAGTTGAAGATCCTTCAGTTCATAAACAACTGTCTAATATTTAGAAATGTAACTAAATGTCTTACTTCATATCCAGGAACTTTGGATGACACAAGGAGGAAATGAGGAAGAGGACGGTAGGAAGAATTGACTGGTTTGCAGAACAGTGAACTGTAAGGTAACAGCATTTTTCAGGAATAGTTTTCCATTAATATTGTGGTACTAAACATAACTAAAAATAATGCAGAGATTTCCATCTATTAAAACCTATTACTGACCTCATAGTGGCACATGTGCTCTCAAGAGTATTATTCATCCTCAAATCAAGCCACGGTTCTCTTATTTCCACACTAGAGAGTGAATTTTCCAATCGACACTTTTCCTATGAAAAAAAAAGAAAAAAAGAGAAATTACCCTATAGTGTATATTTTCTGTGGATGTAATACAAGGCTAATATTGATGAAGATAAAATTAACATAATCATGATCAAAATGATGAAATGACATAATTTTTTTTTGCATTTAGTTTTATCACGTATTTGTGCATGTGTATACAGTATATACCAATTAAATATTTATTTTATTATTTTTTTTATTATTTGGATGACATGCTTATTGATTAAATCTTTTTAGCTATAATTATATCAGTGTCTCACCCCAAGCTGAACAAGAGCAGCAGTGAGACTCAGTGGCTTATGTATAGATGATGTGCCCAATTTACTGGTGTTTAACCATGCTCTCCTGGTCTTCAATGCAGCCTCTGTGGAGAAAGCAGAAGGGAGAAACCAGGAGGACATCTGCCAAATGACATTATTGGCCTCAGAACATTTATATGACATAAAACTCTTTAACCTCAATCAGATAATTTCATGAGGACATTTACAAGCAATGCTGGAATCGCGGGTACTTACTTTTATGCTCTGCTATCTTCTCTCTGATAGTTTGTCTTATCTTGTGCTCTCTCCATCTATCCTCTTGCTCCTCTGGTGCACTCAGACTCTCATTCAAGGTACCATAGACATCTTCTGCTTCCCGTGCAGTCAGAATGTCTAAACTGGCAGTGCAGGCCACATAATGTCTTTTCCACGCTCCGTACTCATGATCTGATGGGCTGTAGGGAAGAAACCATCCCAGACGGATGCACTTCGGAGACCACAGACAGTCCTAGAATCACAGAGAGATTAGTGTGAGTGAGTAAACATGTCTTTGACATTTCTGGCAGCATTCTGAAATTGAATTTTAGAGGATTTTCAGTAACAATGTTTGAGTGAAGAGTGCACAGATGTATTGGTTGATTTCTTACCTGCTCTGCCAGGAATCTCCAGTGCCAGCACACCTGTGCTGCGGCGCAGATGTCTCGAGGACTGAGGAAGGACATGATGTAGAGAGACAGAAAGCGAGGCAGCACTGCCGTGAAGTCCATTCGAGTGATGGGGACTGATTCTGCCAAGCAATCACTGGTGAACCTAAAATCATAACCAAACAAAGTCATTGCAATTTGTATGAGAAATTGGAATTCCTGTGCGTGGTGAGATATCTGCACTGAGAATTTACTTGAGCTGAGTTTTGGAGCATCTCCTCAGCAGACGACACATAAATTCTTTTCTTTGACGGTCTGTCCACAGGTCAAACCAATGGAGGATGAGAGTTGTTCTTTCCTGAAAAAGCTATACATTTATTTAGTTAGATTAAATGTCGTTTCAGCTCAAAATAAGTAATATATATATATATATATATATATATATATATATATATAAAATAATTTTGGTCACACTTTATTTTAAGGTGTCTTTACACTATAATTATACATTTAAGTAGCCCACTGAGTAACTAGATGTTTTAGGGTTGGGGTTTGATTTGGGGTTAGTTGCATGTAATTAAGCTTAATTTATAGTTATTACTATAGTAAATTGATGTAACATATTTAATGACACTTAAAGTAAAGTGTTACCTTAAGTTGTTTTTTTCCCTGACCTGTTGGTTACATGCTTTATTTGTTACAGGCGTCCATGAACTGAATCTGGTCTCTGTGCCGTCGGACTGCGGCTGTCTGTAGTCACTTCCATTCATCTGCTTCATTGATTCAATCATAAAATCAGGATTCCTGCGGTTTTTTGACTTATAATAGGTTCTAAATTCCACAGACGTAGTTAAAATAGTCCAAAGCTATCACTTTTCCCGGTTTGTAAATAAAATAGAAGACAGAGACGTATTAGTTTAATTTGCAAATGCGCTAATTATTATAAATTCTGCGAGAATATCTGATTATTATATCGAATGGACTGGAGATTAGTTCTAAACAAACCTCTAGTGAACATCCAGGAACCAGCGACTTTCCCAGCTCGTTTCCCTGGAGACCACATAACAAATGAAGCTTTGCGAAATTCCTTCACAGGAATCGTGTTTCTTTCAGCAGCTCCTGGATTCACGGTCGTCGCACACAGTTATTTAAACAGATGTTTATTTTTACATAGACATATTACTTATCTACGTAATTCATATGCGAGTCATACAACGTGACATTAAAACTTTGAACTTTATTGATAGAAGCATGAATCAAAAAGTTGAATCAACAATCAGCCAGTAGGTTACAATTTACATTTCCAATGTTTTAAATCAAAATAAAATATGTAAATAGAACTATATAGTCTATAACCAAAAATATACAATGCAATTTTAATTTCATTCTGCAGTCTTAGTAGTCTTAGGAAACTGACATGAAAATAACCTGCCATTATCTTTCTATTAATCACTTTAAGACAGGGCATACATAAATACAAACTGAGCCAATCAGTTCCTTGTTAAAAGTGAATTAGTGATAATGCAAAGGTGCTGCTATCGTACAACTCCAAGGCAACATTTAAGACACAAGATTAGATGTCACAATGTAATCGAACATCATCTTATGCATTTATATTTGTTGTGGTAACGTGAAATCATCAGATGAGAAAGACAAGTGGGTAGTTCATCACAACTGTTTGGATTTGTTTGTTCTGTGATATCACATGTATAGAGTGTAAACAACCCAAGCTGACCAATTTTACACGTTTAAGACCACAGTGTCACCGATATGACTGTAATACTGGTGTTTCTCCATAGCTGCATGGTAGAGCCTTTGTAGTTCATTTGCTGGAAGTTCTGGGGGCATCTTGACTGTCAGCAATGTTAAGCTTTTGTCTAAGGAATTATAGTTAAGATTTCAAACTCAGTTTTTAATGTATCAAAAAATGACTTGTGTTAGAAAAACTTTTAAAAGAACTATTTGATTTTAAGGATGTAACATGTTGCTGCTGTACTACACAATGCATATGCAGAATTTTAAGTTTACATAATAAAGTTACCTGATCAATCTTAAAGGGATGATTCACCCAAAAACGAAAATTCTATCATCATTTACTCACCCTCAAGTTGTTCCAAAACTGTACGAGTTTTTTTCTTTTGCTGAACACAAAGGAAGATATTTTGGAGAACCAAAAAGTTGTGGGGCACCATTGACTTTCACAGAATTTTATTTTTCATACTATTGAACTGTTTGGTTACAAACCTTCTCCAAAATATCTTCCTTTGTGTTCAGCAAAAGAAGAAAAAAACAACTTTTCATTTGTGGGTGATATCCCTTTAACAAAACACTACAATATCATCCAGTTGATCCATCAACATTATTGGTGAAACTATGAAAGGATACATTGAGGAGCTCAACTCTTCCAGCTGAAGGGGGGAAAAAAGAATTAACTTCATTAGACTGACTAGACAAATACATGAAAGATTTGAAGACACTTAATATAAAATGGGACCAAATATGTAATGTTTCTTACATTCGATAACAGTTTATCCATGTTAGTGTCATAAGCAGACTTCCTCTGGTCTTCCGGCAGCTCATCCACTTCTCCATAAAGGTCAAAGTGCAGGCGAGCCAGTGTTTCCTGCATTTCCCGCACATGCTCCATCTGATCGATTGAGCACTCGTTGCCTGATGATTCAGGGAAGATTTAGACTTCAATCAAAACTGTAAACACGCTGTTATTTTTTTACTGTACTGTAAGAACTTACCAAAGGCTTGCAATTTTCCAGAGTGGAAGTCATTGAGAAGGCTGAGCAGACCCTTCTCCATCTCCTGAACATCAGACACGTCTGTGAGAAACGAGTGCTGGATATGGGCCGACTGGGTGCTCTTACCCGACTGACTCTGAGGCCTTGGTTTGTCTCTCACTCCCCTAAAACCCCAAAACAAAATGAATAAAATTAAATGGCAAAATATGACGATAGAAATATGAACATTTTAATACCTTACACAGTTTTAATGAAGACAGATGATGCTCACTTGCGATACTTTGACCTTTGACTGTGCGTGCCCATACCACCACCACCGAATGATCTGGTTGATGTTGTTTTTCGAGCAGTCACTGGGGGAGGCTGGTTGGAAGACGGTTTTGGGCTTTTACGTTTCTTATTCTTTTCCTCCATTGTGTCATCCAAATTATCTACAGAATACAGTAAAAGACATGAGCAAAAGAGCCTGAAAAGTTAAGTGGTTTCAGGTCAAAGGCTCCCCATGTATGTCAATACACTTTTAATTGAATTGTATCACAACAGAAATTCCATAAACTGTTTTGCTATAAAACAACAGCTGTGCAGAAATGTTGTTGTACACATTTCTTTCAGTATAGCTTAATAATTAAGTCAGATTTTTAAAATTAAAATGTTATATAAACTATTTTCTAGTAGCCTCCGCGGAAGTTTGCTGAGACCCCCTAGTGCGTCGTCTCGACCCAGGATGGTTCGGTTGAGAAGAGAACAACTAATCCGCGATTACTAACAGTAGAATGTTGAACAGGCGACAAAATATTTCACACTGGTAAATAAACATAATACAAACATTGTCCGGAGATATTAAACCGTGTTATCACGCGCATTAGAAAACGCTTCAAATCCTGTTTTACAATAACACGTAACATGTAAATAATATGCGAACGAGTCAAGGTGTGGCGTTAGTCGTGTACAACATGCCTAATCGGAACCACTGTAGTAGGCAGCGCATGCAAAATAGTATTCGACAGCATATACGTATGATTTTACCGCATAAAGGAAGACTCCACTTTTTAGAAGGAAATATTATCCCGTCTGAAAGACATTCTCGATGAGATTACTGCTCTAAAGTTGATACAGCTGACCTGGCTGCAAGTTTACAAAAGGCACTTCCGGGATTTATACGTCATCACGGTGAAATCAAGACGCACTGTACCAAAGCTGTACTGTAATTCCACTAAACAACTGTTACTCAAAAACGTCGAATTTGACCAAGAGAAACATTTGTGTTCCAATACTAAATGGATCTTTTTCAGTGTTTATTAAAAAAAATTAATGACTCTAGTGGTGTACCGATAGTAGACACATTTCTTTCAAATTTGTATCGCACATTAACTAAATAATAATATTAATAATAAACATTTGTTTTCTATGATCTTTCAGAATGTTAACTACCTCTATTAAACGCTTCACCCCACTCAGCATCTTTTCTGTTGATATTAATAATTATGTTTTCTATTTATACTCGCTTCTTTTTGACGCATGCGCACAAAGTCAGCTGTCATATGATTGCACATGCGCACCACTGTCGTAATCTGTCTGAAGGAATTTCGGGGAGAGTTTGGACCAGCACGGGAAATAAACACTTTCTAAACACTTAGAACGATCAATCCTCAGTCTTATCCTTCTCCTGCCCTGGAATCAACGTCAGTAAGTAGCGAGTGAAACGTTTTGCTCAAGGTTCCGTCCAGTATTTAAAAAAAAGAGGATGGTAAAGCGTTTCTACTTCCCTAAAGCGGAACTGAGTTCGAGACAAACTGACCAACTACTGCCTTAAATAAACAAACACATTTTACCAGTAAGTTAGCAATAAAGAACATCGTGAAACGTCATGAGTAAACAGTAAGTATAAACCTTAACCGTAAATAGTGGTGTTGGGATCCTGGATCATTGGGGAGATCACAAACACTTTCTCCACTTTCAAAGTAACGTTAACGTGCTAACTTTCTTAACGCAGTCATTTATTTAACGTTACCTGGCAAAATTGTGCTCTGTCCTTCTGGAGTTGGGTGTAAAAGGTACATCTTGGAATCAGCAGCATTAAACATCACTGTTATGTGTTGTACTGTCTCTGATTAGATCAGATTTTCTTGAATGGTTTCTGTTTATGCTTTCCTGAATGTTGATTTAGAGGATTTGTCAGATCCCAAGCATCATATATAGAGGAGGCATGTTGTAGTTTGGTCCCAATTTGATCATAATGCAAGTCCAGATGATGATTAGTGTATCTGATACAGAATACAGTGGAAATAGTGTAACGTTAAGAGACATGATGTAATGACATTCCCTCGAGAAACCGGTTTTTGTTGACAAACTGGAAATGTACAAAGGTGTTTCTCATGGCTGGACTGTTCAATGGAGGACAGTGACGTTCTGGGCCGTGTTACCTTAAAAACACTTGTTCAACAGTTTTGAAAAGAACCTTGGATAAGCAAGTTAAAGGGATAGTTTAACTATTAAAATTTTAAATTCTCTCACTTACCCGCCTTCAAGTTGTTCCAACTTGTGTTCTTCATCTGAACACAATAATAATAATATATTTTGGACAACATGGTAACCAAACAGTGGATGAACCACATTGAATTCCAGGGAAAGGAAATAAAATACTATGGAAGTCAATGGGCCTATCAACTGTTTGGTTACATACATTCTTAAAAATATATTTTATGTTCAACAGAAGAAAGAACCTCATAGGTTTGGAACAACAAGAGGGTGAGTAAATTATGAGAATTTTAATTTTTGGGGTAAACTGCCCCAATTATTTCCACATTTATTCGCCCTTGTGGTGTTCCAAACCTGAATGACTTTCACAAAAGGAGATGTGAAGCAGAATTTGCCTAAGTCACTGCCAACTTTCATTCCATTGTGTCTTTTTTTGTATAACAAAAGTGAATGGTGAGTGAGGCTTTAATTCAGTCTCTTTTTGTGTTACCTGTTAGTGAACATGTTCAGAATGTAATTTCCCAGATCAGAAGTGGATTTGTGATGGCTGGATCTAGGGTTGGATGATATAGGCCTATTGATATAGTGTGAACTTCTCTTTAAAGTTAGTTCTTGTGGATTTTTCATCTACCTTGT